AGTCCTTTAAATCCAGTCATTTTATTCATATTTTTTTTTTCAAAAAATGTTGTTTTTTATGTTCAGTGAAAATTTTTAGTAGTACCAATTTATTGTCAGACATATTCTGTATAATTATGATAATTATACATGTGTGATTAATTTTGTTATCATGTAATTACTCATGTGCAATAATTGGTATAAGAATCGAAGCAGTTTATGATTAAATAATTTATGTGCAATATTTAATAATAGTAATTAATTTGCCTTTCTGGAGTCATATGATCAATTCGAAGGACATTGAAATAAGTCGGCTTTATGCCTTCTTTTTGAGTCATACTAGATATTGAATATATCGAATTTATCACATCAACGCTTGTACTTTCATGTTTACATACATTTTTGATTTTTACTATGAATTTGTAGTTGTTTTATGGCATGTATTTCTTACCAGAATAAAAGTATCCATATTATCTATTTTCAGCAGGCACAGAACTCGATCCACATATTTCTTCAACAGAAGACACATACCTTATTCGTAAAGAAGGTAAGCCTAAAAATATTTCATGACAGCTTACATGATTAGCGTAAGTAAATGCAACGGACATTTATCAAATAAATATGAAAGTGTGTCTCTTTGACTCCTATATATTGTCACAATGCTACAATGAGAGTGAGTTATTTTGTCAAAAAGTAATTATTTAATCGATTTATTTATGTCTCATCATGGTTCACATCGTAACAGCGACTGACATATGTAAACAATGAAATATGGCAATCTAATCCAAATTCATAATTTGGTTACATTTAAAAGCTGACTGCATAAAGACATCATTTATCTACATGCAAGATACTTTCTTTAAAATTCAATATTACGACACAAGGTTCAATTAAATGAAAACAACAAGTTATCAATGATTTAATAAGAATGTACATGTAGCAAAACTGTATAAAAAGTGAATTGTCGTGTATAACACGCCCGCAAACAGAAGTTATAGCGGACACTGGAGTGTACGCTATGGTATTAGACTGTTTTATTTCGCACCCCGATCGGAACACCTCGGTTATTACTTCTAATAACCTTGGAGTTCATTACGTGTTGAATGTATCTTTACCATGTGCATAGTTTTTTCTGAAGGGGTTATGTTTGATAATGTATAACGAATATATGTATTTGTCATCCAAAGTCTGTTTCGGAACAAGAATGATTGAAAATATGTCATGTCTGACAACAGTTTCTTACCACCATACTCTCGACCTTTCACCTTCGTGGTATTTTCGTTGTTAATAAATTAATACTACATTTAAAATTATGTTTTCTAGGAGTTATCTTTTCTATAATATTGTTCCTCTGATGTTTTTGATTTTAGAAATAAGAAGAAAAATTAAATATGGCTCCGCAAGACGGTACGCTTGTTTGTTTATAATGATCAATAGCAGAGTTTTAAGAGCAATAAGGGCTCTAAGAAATAACTCACAGAGATTTCCTGATTGGGTTGCTAGACCTGCAACTTATAAATGAATAAATAAAACGTCTCGCAAGGTGACACTTTGCTTGTTTACCATTAAATAACTCACACTTGAGCACGAAATTTCTTTCAAACTTCATTAAATGTAGGCTAAACTTCACGCCTCAAATAAAATAAGATGTAATAGATATATTCATTCATTCATTCATTCATTCATTCATTCATTCATTTACATATATAAATATAATATAATATATATATATATATATATATATATATATATATATATATATATATATATATATATATATATTCACACATATCTTCACTTACGGGGCCTATTTGAAGGAATGTGACTGTATATTTAAATGGAGGAATGTGACTGTGTATATATATATATATATATATATATATATATATATATATATATATATATATATATATATATATATTATCTTTTGCAATAATTGACTGATGTTCCCGCTGTGTCATCATATCACAGCTTTAAAGCGTTAACGTTATTTTAAGCAGTCTGGATAGTATTTCGCTTAATTCGGTTAGTACTTTTATATGGTTCTTTAACAATCGGAAACATGGCTTGCTACTTTTTTATTAAAAACTGTCATAACGAAGTCTAATTAGGTCAAATATTCATGTTATCTTGTCAAAAAGAAGTGCTGACTAGTCTAAACACTGTCTTTTTATTTCAAAACATCATGTTATCACGTCCAAATCCCCGTTGTTAATATGCCTAATGGAAGTCCTAATATGTCTAACATGCACGTAATCTTTTCAAATTAAGATTTCAACATATCTAAACACAGCCTTGTTTTAATGTGATGTTGGATTGTCTTGAAATTGTCTTATTATGTTAAAAAGTAAGGTTATCTTGTCGGAACTTGGTGTCAACTTGTCAAACTCATGTTTTATCATGTCGGCTAGTAGCGATATCTTGCCCAAATGTGATCCTGGTTTGTTATGACTTTGTGGTATTATGTTATACTGTAGTTGTGTCTTGTCCAAATGTGGTATTGACTTGTCTAAACGCCGTCACACTTTGTCAGACTGCCATGTCATAATTCGGTGTTATCTTGTCGAAAGAAATTCTTTTAATGTCAAAATGGCATGCTGTCTTTCCCAAATGCGGTGGTTAATTGTCTAGAAGTTGTCTTATTATATGAAACAGTGGTGTTATCTTGTCGGAACTTGGTGTCAACTTGTCAAACTCATGTCTTACCATGTCGACTAGTAATGATATCTTGTTCGACCGTCATATTGACGTGCCTGAGTATTGTCCTATTTTGTCAAACTGTTATGTTGCTTTGTATGAGGTGGTGTTATTCTGTTTTATTGTGGCAAAACATCATGCTTTCTTTCAGATCGCCACCCATTTTATCAAAACTTTATGTTAATCTGCCTATACACCGTCTTATCATGTGAAATAATGGTGGTATCTTTACAAATTATGGTTATGAACTGTTAAAACGCTATTTTAGTTTGTCGAACTGTCATGCTATTATGTCCAAGTACAGATTTAACTTGTCTAGATTTGCCTTATTGTGTCAAATAGTCATATCCTCTTGTCGAAACGTGGTGATGACTTGTCTAAAATTACTATCTTTTTTGTCAAAGTGTCATTTTATTTTGTCAAGGTTCGTTGTTAATTAGACTAAACATCGTCCTTTTATGGCAAAGTATCATTTTTCCTTTTCAAATGTGGTGTTTACTTGTTAAAACACAGTATCATTATGTTATACAGTGGCGATGACTTGCCAATTTATTACATTAACTTGTCTAAATACCGTTTTATTATGTCGGATAATCGTGTTATCCTGTCCAGATGCGAAGTTGTCCAAATTTAGTATCACGTGACCAGATCCCGCGCAGAGCGTGAAAATATAAAGCAGAAAAGATTACGGGACAGTTTAGCAAAATCCGACAGCGCTTTCTCAAGACAGAACTAAATTTTAACAAAATAACAGTTTATTAGACATAGTAAGACTGTTTCTGTTTTTTTCAAAAGAAACATTAAATTTTGACAATATAGCACTTCTGTTTTACATTATAAGAAAGAGTTTTGACAAGTCATTACCATATTTCGACAAGATACCGCATTTTTTTGGCTTTGTAAGACTGGGTTTTAACAATCAAAACTGCTTTTTTGACAGAATAGCATATAGTTTATCATAATAAGGCATGATTTAGTCCAGTCAACACCTAATTTCGGGAAGATAATGCTAATATTTGATATAATAACACAAAACAGTAGTGTACGTTGGCAAATTAACACTTCTGTTTGAGGAGTTTGAGAAGTTCTTTAAAAAACAATGTTAAGGCATTTAAACACCGCATTTTGACAAAATACAGCTGTGTCAACACCAAATTTCGAGAAGAGAACACTACTGTTTTTTAATGATCAAACAAGATTATACAGTACTTATAAGACACATACTCGTTTAAGGCTTTTGAAACATGCGTACGTCAGTCAACTTATAACCAAACATATTGTAGTTGATTTACGGCATAATCGTGTAAAATTTAAAAATAATGCAACATGTTCATTAGGCATATCTCTCAGAAATACGGAGGTGTAATATACAGTAATACATTACTCGTAGTTGCCCAAACAATATGACTATTTAAATGTTTGGCATATAGATATTTTTCATATACAGTATAATATTTTAAAGGCATATAACGAATTGATTGATTGGGAATGATGTAGCTTTCCGATAAAATGTTTTTATTGTTGGGTCTTTTAAATACACCATTAGCCATTATTACCGCATTTAGTGAACTAATCATTACTTCATTATACTGAATAGTAAAAAAGAATATTTGTAAAACGCCTGATTTTTTTAGAAAAAAATGAGACGCTCGACTCGAAACAATCAATAATTAATGTCATAGCTATTCTCAAGTTATGTGTTCCTAAAAAAAAGTAAAAGAAAGAATACACATATTCCTTTTGTGGTCATGGCTACATTGTTGGACGGATATAACCATAGCGACATTCCACATAACGTCAAAAGGGAAAACCCATGTGATAAACAAATGAAAAACGAAGGTCAATAAGTAATAACCTCCTTATATACAAAGATAAACGATACCACTGCGGAATGATCAGACACATTTTGATGTTTGCCACCTTATATTTATGCGCTCAACCAATATAACTACTGGTCATGGGGTCGTGGCGCACTAGCTATTTCAGGATGCGATAATATGCTACAATTTCAATCATCGATATTGCACAATAATAATTTGCACATTTTGTCAGTGTTGTTAAGATAATATTAGTAGTCATGCGGTCAAGTCAAACGCAAGCCCTACAGCTTTTCAGGCTCCGCATTCTGCAACAAAAGTACCTTACATAATAAGGATACGTTTTGATAAAATATTTTCAAGATAAGAATATATTTTTATGACAACTCGAACCAACTTTAAAGGGATAGATAATCAATACACTTATCATGTTGTCAAGCAAACCATACAGCATAATATGTAGATTATTTAATTAATGATACATTATAAATCTGTATTTTAGAAGAACTGGAGATGTCACAGTCTTCTGGTATTGAGATTTGCCGAAAAGTCATACTTAAGAATTTCATTGCACTTAAGAAGTATTTGCATCCTGATCCTATAATAGATTGTGAGACAGGCTTTGAATTACTTACCGTCGCAGACAGAAGGAATATCAAGGTACGATATAAAATAGTTTAAAGGCCAGTACAATTAAGATTACATTATTCAATTGTCAGTATTTGATGACATGTGTGACACGGTTAATTTTTTATTTCAATTGTTGATTGTAATATAATTACTGAGGCATTTAAGGAATAATCTTATTTTAATGCTTGTTACTTACATTTGAAATATTCTTAAAAATATCTTAAGATTTCTGTATTAGTAATTTCAAAAAGTGAACTTGGTAATCTAATCTTATTGTTACAAATGAAACAAAAATTAAACGCTTACCGAACGTGTTAAAAATGTAATCAACATTAAGTTTATATAAAGGTTAAATATTTTTGAATCTTATTGATAAAATACAATGTTGCAGGGTAAGGCTCCAACTGATAAGAATGAAACGATATTGAGAAAAGTAATATCAAAAGGTGCTAAAGGTTACACAGATTTTAAAGAGCGTCTGAGAAAGACCTGGCAGACTGAATTATTAGAGCTGATCGTTTGTGCAGAAAATGGACAGGACACAACAGAGATAGAGGATCGGCTTGAGAAAACTGCAGTGTTAAGTCCAGAATATACCAAACACAGAGGTGGTAAGTCAGTTGTTTTACGCTCACAGTGTTCAGAGATGAACTTTTGTTACTGCAAGCTGTCAGTTGTAAGTTGTCTATCATTCTACGTGAATATATGTCTTTAATCAACATCTCCATCTAAAATTATCGATAAATATCAACTTTTACAGAAATGATTTAAAGTAGCCTTCTACAATATTTTCCCTGTTGATAAATGCCTCCTACCTAAACATGTTTTCTGAGTGTGAACTATAAATTATTTAGTCGCTAATAATTTCTTGGTAGTAAACTGATTTTATATTATTTTACTACACAAACTACATTTATTTATACGATTATTCGAATAGCTTGATTTCTTTTAAAATAAAACAACAAAAATGGCAGATTTGACACCTCAGGCAAGATCAAGTAAATTGAAATCCAACCAAGTCCGACCACTCAAATACAAGTAGAAGGAAGTCTATATGTTATATTAAATACGTATTTAGATACAACAAATGCCATTTGGCCTTGATTTACAGGTAAATATCAACATCGTCCGCAAATGTCACGAAAAACCGGTACAATATATCGCCAATTTAACACAAAGTATTTAATATGCAGAAAAAAGCAAATACTGCTCTAAACCCTGACATATTTAGCTTCCCAAAATTGTTGAGTTTGGAAAATTCGATGAAGTTTTGATGGAGAAATAAGTTGAAACATTACCTTGGGTGAACTCGATGTAAACATGTTTACTTTCGTTTTCGGAGGTATGAGGGGCTATATCCGGTGGACGCTGTACAACAGTGATAATGTTGATGAAACAATTATTAAACAATTTCTTTGGCATATCCGTAATCCTGACACAATCATGTGATAAGATCATCATCACGTGATTTGTGTGAAGGCAGTGGCTACCGGCCGTAGCGTAACCGGTGCTTGTAGTTTTGTATCAAGCTGAATTGTAACCGTACCTAAATCCCAAATAGAATGTATATTTGCCAATCTCAGCACAAGTCATGTTCTTATCTCATTATATATATCAAGAAAAACGTAAAATAAGCCGCTTTGGAAAAAAATCATGTTTTAACGTGTATTATTATAAAATGTGTTATACTAGACTCGTATTAAGTACAACAAACGCTGTTCCGACACTGCATATGTGACTTATTCCACGATAGTGGGTCCAAACGGTAAGCCAGTTACAGTTCATGTTTTAAAACATATAGAACTTATTGCTTCACTCGCTACGCTACAATGCAATAAATTCCATACTAACTATTACTTATTTTCAGTGCGTAGCATTTTTAATGGTTACGTCATATGTTGAATGTTAACGTCACATGGCTAAATATAGAATCTCAACAGTGATTTTATTGCATAAGGACAAGCACATTCGGTCCTTTTATTTTCAACAGGGAAAATTGTGGCTCGTGCTAGAATCTGTAAAATCTAAGCACTGCTGTGCGAACCGACATACATGTTTCATCATTTGAAATTTAATGTTCATGCACGACGGTGTTCTGTTATGGTCAGTGCGTTTCTCTGAGAACGTAAACCATTTATCATGACAGTACAATGGTGACAGTACGACAGTACGATAGTGACAGTATGACAGTACAATGGCGAAGCACAATGTAACAATGTGAACTTACTGTCGTTCTTCGCCATGATACTGTCGTATTGTAATCATTGTATTGTAGTACTTTCATCACGGAACTGTCGTACTGTCATCATTGTATTGTCGTCTTCCTGCAAGTATGCGCATTATAGAAATTAATATTACATGGATGTAAAATTGATCATGCCATAAGGTCTTACTTTAACAATGGCCACTCACAAAAGGAAATTCTTGTACTGGTGCAAAAAGATGGTAAAGCGCGACAGTACAATGGTGTCAGAACAACAGTTCGATAGTGTCAGAACGACGCGAAGATGGTGTCAGAAGGACAGAACAATGTGTCAGAACGACAGTACGATGGTGGGGCGCGACAGTACGATGGGGAGAGTACAGTTGTGACAGTGCATTGGTGACCGGACGAGGGAAGCAGTACAATTATGACAATACGACAATACGTTGGACTTTCATCATCATACTGTCGAATTGTCACCATCATACTGTCGCGCTTTGCCATCGTACTTTCGTATCTCGGATAAAAGACGCTTGCCCTTCTGGAACACTGTAGTTTTCCGACAATTCTAAAATTCCAGTATGTCGCAGGGTTAAATATTCTGATGGTACAGAAACAACTCTGGTCGAAGATTCCTTGTATTTATTAATCAAAGTCTAAAAATATAATAAAATAATTATAATATTATACATCTTACAAAAACAATACATATAACAACAAAATACAATGAAAAAACAATATATACAAAATCAACGCGGAATAAGAAATTACAAAAAAAAACATAAATAAGAAATACAATCAATATCTTAGTTTTAATATTATGTCTTACCACAGGGTCTGCATCAAGATATTTACTTATAGAATATTTCAATACAAATTGAAATAAAATAAGCAATAGATCTAATAATTTTAACTGGTTTTACTATACGTCTGACTCGTAAGAGATGACTGTAAAGAGTGAGCGCGACAGGAAAAGACAAACAACGCACAGATTTAAAGAATATTTAAAAAAAAACCAATATATATCTTTCTCACATAGAAATATATAACAAAAACAGAACAATTAGACAAGTACAACAAAGAACAAGTGACCAGTGTTAAGTGACCACTGTTCACGATATTGCACGCGTGAGATCGACAATGTACAACAGTGACGAAATTGTCGAATTTTATCGATTTAAACATATACGATAAAAACTAAACGCAACCGAATAAAAACGCGCGTACACGGTGTTTCGCTCAAATAAAACTATGGAAAGCCACAGCTGCCATTAACATGTAATTTCAATCTGTGACATTCTGCCTTGGTAGGAGAAAATTGCTCCTGACATTTCCCTACACTAATTTAATTAACATAATCCTATGGATAAGTTGAAAATATATTTAAACCTTAACTAACTAACCTATTTAAGTATATTTCAGCAATAGTTATTTTGTAATTAAACTGAAATGAATTTTAAATTTTAAGCCAACATTTTCCCAAATAATTACTGAAGCTAAGATACTGAACATGTGAAAAATATTTAATCAATAAACAATTGCGAAAAGAAAACATCTTGTGACAATTAAAATATTAACAATCATTTTCTGAAAATGAAAATATCAACAATCATTTTCTAAAAATAAAAATATCAACAATCATTTTCTAAAAATGAAAATATCAACAATCATTTTCTAAAAATAAAAATATCAACAATCATTTTCCAATTTGCATCAACCTACAATAAAACACAATTAAAAACACATACGCTATCTCATTTATGTATACTGCAATATATATATAAGAATAACATGAAGTTGAAATTTAACTTCTGTTGTAATGGTACATTAAAGACACATAATGAAATTTAGCATTTTAAAGGTACAACACTAAATTTGTCTGAAAAGATAAATATATAACATTTTCATCACATAATTCAGATAAAATGTCAACAAGAAATGCATGTTATATGAATTATTAAAAACAAAGGCATTTCCTTTACATTTCAAAATACAAAATACATATTTCATTTATTTGTTTTCTCTCGAAAATCTGAAAGTAAAATTGTACCCACAGAAATAATAATGATTCCTGATATAGATTTCATGATTAATATGTTACTTAATAATCATTCTGAAATGTAAAACACAGAAAATAAGTTCAGTTAACAAAACACATAATTATGAATCAAAACTAAAATAAAATATTTCAATTATTTATATGAAAATCAAAAATAATATCTCATATGTGACATTCTCCCCTGATCTGCAAAAGATTGAGGATACACAATTTAATGATTTTGAGAATAATCAACATTTTCTGTGATGGGTCTAACCCACTCACCATACCTATCTGGTGGTTGTCTAATTATTGTTGACCTTGTAACAATACTGGGGTCATCTGTAACAAAAGAAAATTTGTAACCATTAGAAACATTATTTAAAGATCCTGTATGTTTTGTGATTGATATTGTACCTGTGTGAATGCGTGGTGGTGGTATTGTTCACTCCGGATCACGACAGTTAGCCACATTGAATTCACCAGAGCACAGTTCTATCACCGCATCGTTCCTGGGCAAACTGTCAAGCAGTTTACCAATACTAGTTGCCTTCACTTTCGCAAGGAACTGAAACTTATGTACATGCCAGAGCAAAGGTACAGCGCGAAAGACCGTAGAAAGGATTTCATGGTCAATCACAACGAAAGAAACCTGCGCCGTCCGGGAATCGAACCCGGGTCGCCCGATTCACATGTGTGTATACTTCTTCTTCTAGTTAATGCTTAATGAGGGTCCATCCGCCCTTTCGGGCACAAAATGCAGCTTGCGCTGTCGAGTACGGACCCCGGACATGTCACCAGTCATGTCCTTAAAGAGTTAATTTTGAAGCACAAAATGGTGATAATTTACCTCCATGCAATTTCCACGGAGTATTAGCCAAAGATATGAATTTTGAGCCGAAAAGTAGGTCACTGTACGGCGGTCAATGAGAACCTAAATGTACAGTAACCTGTGACAATAGGAAATGTGTTTTAGCCCTGAAAAGGGCTGTTGGTGCCAGCTATAGGCCTGCCTTACAAGCCGTCTATCTGTACTAGGGGCTCACGCACCCTAGTACACCATCCTCGTCGTCTCAGCCTACTTTGTAGGGCCACTCCCCTCGGCATTAGTCAGGACATCGGCAGCTGGTCCGCAGAAGTGACGAAGTAGGAGTTCCCTAAGGAAAAATTTAAGTTGACTACCAGCCAAGTTGTAAATCTTCTGCCGATGCCCTGTGCCTTCTCAGCGACGTGCACGCTCCGAGGGGAAGTGATGATGTGTGTATACCACTCTTACAATAAATTATATATGTATATAATTATGCAAATAAAACAAGTTTCAAACATCGGTGAATATACATGTATAAAATATGTACTGCAAATGTTTGTGCACATTATATGTATTCAATAAATTATATGCATTCCTTTCTTATTGGAAAATTTGACTAAGAATTTATAGAAAATAAATTTTTAATTACCTCCCTTTATTTATATGGAAGGTTAAACTCGGTTATATCTTTATAAATAATGCTTATTGGAACTTACAATATTGACAAATCTTAATTTGAGCATCATTTTTATGAAATAAAACCATAAAACAATTGTATTACAGGATCTTTAAATTACTTTTTGGTAAAACAGCATAATTATGGGAACTACTGGATTGGTTTCCAACTGAAATAACAGAATTAAGATTATCAACAGAAAATTTATCTCTAAAATGTAAAATTGCAGAAACATGTTGACTCCCTTAATTCTGTGAAAATTATGACATCTCTTCACCAGTAGATGACAACTTATCCTTACCAACAACATGTGTATTGTTGGTTGGCTGCACTGGTCTTAGTACACGGGGCTTGGATGCTGCTCTTCTATGTCAAGGGATGTATATAGGAGTTTTACTTCCTATTCTGCAGTCTGAGTCAGACTCTTGCTCTGGTACAACTCCTATAGTTTGTTCTATCTTTTCTGGTCTGGCTTTTGGCTTAGAAAACCTGCTTTATACTATGTGTTTCATTGTAAGTGTACGGTATAGACATCAGAGAAAGAAGTAGGTTTCCATGTAGGGTCTTGTCTTTCCTTGCCAGCTTATTTCTACAGTTTGTAGACAGGAATATCTTCATTGGGGATCCCTACTATGATGTAAGGTTCCTTCTCCCACTTGTCGTCTAACTTACATTTAGGGGTAACTTTCCTGATGAGGACCTGTCTCCAACATCTAAAATAGGGTGTCGAACCTTAGCATAATAGTAGGTCTTGTGTCTCTGTCCTTGTTTGATGGAGATTTCTTTAGCAGTCTTGTATGCAAACTCCATCTTCTTCTTAAGCTTGTCAACATAGGACTCCCTGGACTTCGACTTCTGTTGATGTTCGATGCCCAAGAATGCATCAATGGCTAGGCCTGGATGAATCCAAACATCAAATATTGCGGAGAATAGCCAGAAAAATCATGTTTGGTTGCATTATAAGCATGAACAAGAGGCTTGACAAAGTCCTTCCAATTGCTTTTACCCTCCGAGTCCAGAGTACCAAGCATACCGAGTAACGTAGTGTTAAAATGCTCGGTTCGTCCATTACCCATAGCGTGGTAGGGTGATGTTCGAGACTTCTACACCCCTGCAA